CCATGTGGGAGTTCAGCACCTTAACCACCATGCCACCTGCCAGCTCCTTTAACTATTTAAAAAAACTCTCTCTCTGGTCAAATTAAAATAAATGAATAAATAAGTAAAATTAAATAAATAATTTAAAAAAACATACAAGAATATATTTTTCATTCTTTATGCTTATAAAATAGTAAGAATAAATTGCTACTTGAAAAATCAGAATAACTTGCTTATGAAACCATGTGAACCTTGTACTTTTTCAGGAAATAATTATTATATTCTTTAGTTTGTTTCATAGTTATTAGTACTTAGATTTACTATCTTTTCGTAAGTTCTTTAATTTCAGTGATTTACAAGAATTTCCTAGAATACTATCTACTATTTCCTCCAGATTTTAATAATATTGGCATGTAGTTTTACGCCCATTTGTTCTGTCATGTTTTGTTTTTTAATTTTGCTCTAGGGCACATGTGCTCATCAGAGAGAGACAGAGTCAAGGTGGGAAGCGAGAAATCACCCCCCAGGGGAGATGGCCGCACCACAGTCCCATCTCCTTCATTCTCCTCTCAGGATTTGGGGCACACACACATGCACACACATATGCCTGGTGTGTTTTTCAAGCTGCTGAATCCAGGACTACACACCTGTCCATGTGGGATGCAGCTGCCCTAACCACCATATTCCTGGCCCACTGTTTGTTCTTTCAACATAGTTACACATTACATGACACAGTCATGGATCACTTAACGATGGGCGTACATTCTGCAAAATGTGTCCTTAGTTTTGTCATGTGAACATCATAGAATGTACTTACACAAGCCTAGATGGTATAGCCTACTACCCACCAAAATTATATGGTATACCTTATTATAACCACTGAGAGACTATTGTCGTACATGCGCTTGCACTTGACTGAAATTCATCATGTAATGTGTGTCTACATATTTGGAAGTAGGTTCTAGGCCGCATATTAGAGATAAACTAGATTGCAATGTATAGGTACTCTGCCTTCATAGAAGTTTACAGTTTGAAAGAGATTACATTTTTTATAATTCTTATCATTTTCTCCACATATTGCTGTGTCTCATTTTCAGTTGAAATACATACATTCTGAGTTTTCTTTAGCTACACAAGTTATTGGCTTAATTTTTTGCATTTTTTTAAATTTATAGATTTTTGTCTATCATTTTTTCCTGTAGTGTATATGTTATCTATCATTTTTATTATCTTTTTTTAAATAATTAGTTTTTATTTTATTTATTCATTCTTTTTTTTTTAATTTGATGAGGGAGAGAGAGAGGGTGAGAAAGACAGAGAGAGAGAGAGAGAGAGGAAGTGAGAAAGCAAGCCACCAGATTCAGGACTCGAACCCTGGTTGGCCATGTGGGAGTGTCTAGCACCTTAACCACCACACTACCTGCTGGTCCCATTTTTTTCTATTTTCTAACATAGCTTCTCCCACTTTCCTTGGTTTGATTTGTTTAGGGTTTTTTTGTTGTTGGTTTTACTGTGAAGGCTCAATGACATGGATTATGTCAGTGATCGCAAAAAATATGGATTTTTAAAATTGATTTTTTGCTTTTGTTTTGAAGGTTTTTTTGATTTGGATTTTTGTCTAGAAGGATCATATTTGGGTCTCAAATGGTACATTGTTCTTACTTGGCTATTAATTTTTTTTAATTATGATTTTTTTTCCAAGAAATCTTTTGTGTTAATCTCAATTCTCATTAATGTGATTTTCTTTGCTTTTTTAGTTTCTCATTTGCCTTCTTGAAGAACTTTTTATTTTCAATTAGCAATAATCGCGCCTCGGATAAACCTCATTGGCTACGATACTGCCACTGCGCAAAGCTAAGAACTTTTTATTTCATGAATGTTTTGTTTGATTCCCTGCATGTTATTTTTCTTTGTCAAGGCAACACCTTCTCTGCAGCTTCCTCATCATGTTAGAAGGCAAATTTATTTTGTCTGATATAATTACAGCTCCTTATAGCTGCTAAAAATAAGGATATTTTCACCTGTTTACATACCAGTTGATATCACAATGTGCACACCAGTCAAGTTTTAAGAAACTACTATATGTAATACTATCATAACTAAGAGTAATCAGATTTTAAAAAGAAAGATAGAAAGGTTTTGGGTCAGTGTGTGGTATGGTGGTTAAGGTACCCACATGAATGTGTTTGTGATTTAACTCCTGGACCCAGTAGGTACGTGCATGCCCAGAATCCTAGGAGCTGAAGGAATTGTGGCATGGACATCCCCCAGGGGTGGTGATTTCTCACCTTCTCTCTCTCTCTCTCTCTCTCTTTCATGAGAGCACACATGCCCTATAGGAAAAATATTAAAAAAAAAAAAAAAACTCTGGGTATGAGAAATCTCAAGAGATAACATCTATTTAGTGCCCTCATATATAATAATCCTTCCATAAATGTCTATTCAGATCAAGAATTGCTTTGGTACATTTAAATGCCTTTCTACTGATAAAATTGGTAGATTTGCCAGATTTTATGCCATAGAAGCAAAGATCATAACTGTTTGTGAGATATGTAAATGTTTATTTTAAATGTGCATATGAATTTGTTGTACAAGTAGAACATTTGATTTTTTAGTGCAGTATTTGAAATATGCAAAATTTAAAGCAATAACTAGCGTTATCACCAAAAAAAAAAAGTGAAATATTGCATGCAAACCATGATTTTAATCAGTAAGTAATGACCTCTAAGAATGCTGAGGTCTGTTTAGCAACATTTCCTAGAATGCAGGCATTAGCAGTTTTTCTCCTTTGTTAGATTTTTTTCTTCCTCTTGTAACCTGATTCCTGGTTGCAGTCTTAAATTCCATCTCCCCAAACCAGCACATCTTATACCGCAGCTTTAAAAAAAACTACTTAAGTCTCCCCATTATACTTCTGTGCCTTTGTGCATGTAGTTTGCTTAGCTGGAAATATACTTCCTTGTGACCAGCAGGTGGCATGGTGGTTAAGGTGTTGGACTCCCACATGGCCTATCATAGTTCAAGTCCTGGACATGATGGATTGAAACTCACACTAGGCATGTGTGTGTGCATGCCCAAAATCCTAAGAGGAGAATGGAAGAGAAGGGATTGCCACATTTCCATCCCAACTGGGGAATGATTTCTCACTTTCCCCTCCTCTGTCTCTCCAGTGAGCATATATGCTCTATGGCAAAAACAAAACAAAGACTCAGGAAATCAGTATTTTCCAAATGATCAGTGAATGATGTTAAAAGCAATGCTTGAGTAAAAGATCTGTTGAAAGTACAAGATAAGTTCATGATTTTTAATGTACAGAAAGTCCATTGATATGGTCTCAGATATTATACTGCAACTGAGCATTTGAAAAAAAAAGCTCTGGAGGACCAGCAGATGGCATAATGGTTACATTGCTGGACTCCCATGTCGACCATGGTTCAAGCCCCAGACACAGTGGCTTAAAACCCATGCCAGGCATGTGTGCATGCATGCATGTGTGCCCAAAATCCTGAGGGAAAATGGAGGAGAAAATACTGTGGTGTGCCCATTCCCCACCCCTTTTTCTTTCTCTGACAAGTGCACGCACCCAGTAGCAAAAATCTCTCTCAAAAAAAAAAAAAAATGTACTGGGGCTTGCAGTTAGCATTGGGATTAAGGTGCCAGATTCCAACACAGCTGACCATGGTTCGAGTCCTGGTCCTGGTGGCTTGAAAATCACTGGGCACGTGTATGTGCGTAGCCAAGACTCCAGGAGGAGAATGGAGAAGGAACTGTGCTGTGTGATGATTTCTCACTTTTGCTCTAATTGCCTCTATGTGTGTCTCTCTCTGGAACACATATGCTCTAAGGCAAAAACCTCTAAAGAAAAATATTTTTTTTTACATGCTATTGTATTTGTATTTGAGCTATAAAATCTTTTAAAATGGGCCTTAGTGAATAATTTACCATTTAATAGTCTTGAGAAATGTGATATGATAATGAAAAGAACAAAGGGTTTGGAATCATAGGATTTGTTTCAAATCTTTATCTTTGTGAGCTTTGGCAAATTCTATAGCTGCCTTATACCTTGGTTTCTTCTCCTCAAAAATGGCTGAAAAGTTTGCTGTGAGGAATAAATAAAATTGGAAGATTGTGTGCAAAACGCCTAGCAATAATTGGATGTACTAGTTTGTTGTTTTTAAAGAATTAGGTCTTTATGACTCTGGACCTAATAGCATGTTTTGCTTAGACATGTTAAAAGTGATAACAGTAGGAAAATAATCTCATTTACTTAAACTAGATTTATGCTCACTTGATACAGAATTTATATCTAATTCTCTAAACACTTATTTTAACTCTAACCCCATTAGAAGTTCCTTCTGCTTTTAAGCTGTTTATCAAATTATTTTTAAGACCTGTTATAACCATTATGTCATATTTATAGTGAACTATGCAATCTTTCACAATGTGAACACACTGAGGCCAGCTGGAAAATTTTCATGAAAGAGTAAAACGGGGGGCTAGCCAGGTGGCATGGTGGTTAAGGTAGCTGGATTCCACATAGCCCCCTGCATGGTTCAAGTAGTTCCCAGACCCAGCAATCTGAAAAATATGTTAGGCACATGTGCTTTTTCTCTGTGTCTCTCTCTCTCTGTCTCTCTCCTGCAAGTGTTCCATAGCAAATTAAAAAAAGAAGAAAGAAAGAGGCCAAATTAAACCTATGCTGACAAAAATTTAGTGAATTCCAAAAGCAATGTATGAGTTGCCTATTTTGATTATAAGTAAAAATTTTGAACATATTGTTAGATATTGACACAATGTGAGTCTCCACAGGTTTTAAAATAATTTAAATTTTGTTTGGAAATATTCATAAAAATACATAGCTAAGTATTTATTTGCAGTTACTACGTTTATAGAAAAACTTTTTTTCTTAAGGTGACCTAAATCTTTTTAATTTATCCTCACTGTTTCTTTTGTAATACAGCTTTTAAAACATTACTGAGTTTTCTGTTTTTTGAAGAGATATCCATTTCTTTTTCTTTAAGATTGGGACAGGGAGAAATTACTTGAAGCTTGGATGTCAAACCCAGAAAACTGCTGCCAACGATCAGGTGTTCAAATGCCAACTCCACCACCAAGTGGGTACAATGCCTGGGACACACTCCCTTCTCCAAGAACTCCAAGGACTACTCGCTCTTCTGTCACCTCTCCAGATGAAATCAGTTTATCTCCTGGGGATTTAGACACCAGTTTGGTATGGTTTAGTATTCAGTGTACTTGCCATAGCTTTGTTTTTGGTCTTAAAACTTTTATTTAACATTATTCCATAGAGCATCTGGATATGTTCTTAAAACTGAGTCCCATTTTTTTTTTTTTAGTTCAGTTATTTTTTATGCTTTCTTTTTTTTTTTTTAATTTCTCAGAGGGCATCTGCACTTGTGGGAAGAAACAGAGAGAAAGAGAAACAGAGAGAGAGAGCAAGAAAGCATCCCCTCTAGGACATGGTCATTCAGCAATCCTTTCTCCTCCACCTCTCCCTCCCTTTGAGATTTTGGTCCCAGACCTTGTGGCTTGCTTTCTCACCTTCCATCTCACTCTCACTCTCTCACTTTGTCTTTATCCGGTCAAATTAAAATAAAATAATAAATTAATTACAGTTAAATCATTCTTTTTAACAAATTCCATCTGCTTGAAGTTTTGAACACAGCATACTAAAATATTGAATGCTGAATTTGTAATCACCACACTGAATCATAAATACAAAAACATTTTCAATCATTTTTTGGAAGCTACTAGTTTTTAAATATTTACGATTGTAATGATTATATATTCATTTTAGTAAAGCATCTGGATTTTATCATCTAGATGCATTTTCATATTAAGAAACAGTACTGTGATTGTCTTTTTTTCCCAAAATTATTTATTTATTTGTTTGTTATTATTATTTATTTTTTAATTTGACCAGAGAAAGACAGAGAGAGAGAGAAAAGGGAAATGAGAAAGCCAACCTCCAGGTCCAGGGCTCAAACTGGTCTGCCATATGGGAGTCCCATGCCTTAACCACCACACCACCTGCCAGCCTTCATTTTCTGTATTTTTAATTGGTATACCATTGGTGTGCTACTATGGGAACATCTGAATTTTCTTGAATGATTCAACCACTCAAAATATATGATAATTATTAAAGCACTCCTCACTTTATCTGGACCTTTTTGCAAAACTGAATTCTAACTGTATAACTTGTATCTGTAAGATTATGAAGTTTGTTTCTGGTAGCTCAGTGTTCAGAGGACACACACTTTTGTAGCAGGATTCCTTGGGTTAGAAAACTTAAAATTGTAGGCCAGCCACCTCACAGTGCTTTAATGATAGGTGATCAGAGCCAAATCCCACCTGTCTGACCAAGATTGAGTCCTGGCCCCCAGTGCTTTGGAAAATACATGTAGACTGCATGTGTGCCTAACATCCTGACAGGGTAGAGAAATGGAGGGTGTGGGAGTTGAAAAGAGTGCAGAGTGACCAGGCTCCATTGGGAGATTTTCTCTCTCTCTTTCTCATGCACATGTCCTCTGGCTTAAAAAGAGAGAAAAAGCCTTAAATTGTTACTCTGAATATCCTGAGTTACTGTGTTAAAAACATGGAGTTACTTGTTTTGTAGATTTTTCATGGTAAGTAAAAGACATAATACTTAAGTGGTTATTTTACATCGTGCAATTTGATCTTGACCTGAATAGGCTATAATTATTTGTTTCTTGTATTCCTTTTCCAAATGCACAGTTGTTCATTAATACGTAAATGTGGAATTTAAGAGTTTGAATTTTGCATTAAAACATTTGAATTCCACAATAGTCTTTCGATATAAAGTAATCATGGAAGGAAACAGATGGCATGGTGGTTAAGGCACTGGACTCCCACATGACCGACTGACTACGGTTCAAGTCCCGGACTCAGCTTCAAATTCATGCCAGGTGCATGTGCATGTAGGCCCAAAATCCTGTGAGGCGAATGGAGGAGAAGGGATTGCACATGGCCATCCCCTCTAGGGGGTGGTTTCTCCCTTTCTGTCTCTGTCTTTCTAGAGAGCACACATGCCCTATGGCAAAAATCTCTTAAAAAAAAAAAAAAGTAGTAGTCATGGTATCTGTTACTTAGTCAAAGGTAGGCACATTAACTTTAACTACTTTAACTACTACTAAAATTTTGAAGCACTTTAAATTTTCTAATTACTGTAAAACACCTGTACTTTTGCTTTTATACTAGTGAACAAAATTAATGTATTATTTTGTCTCCAAACTGACTTTGTTTAAATCGCTGTTCTTCTTCCCCAGTGTGACATTTGTATGTGCAGTATTTCTGTATTTGAAGACCCAGTGGATATGCCCTGTGGACATGACTTCTGTAGAGGATGTTGGGAGTCGTGAGTATATGAGCAGCTTAGGCTCTTTTACTGCATGAAAGCACTGTGGTATAAGACTGCTTTGTTTCTGTTTTTAATGATTTGGATTATATATATTGGTTTTAGTTACACTGAAATGTGTTATACTTTACTAGTAAGGAAAAGTAGTTTTTTCTTTGACATCTCCCTGCTTCTTTAAGTATTTAGATTAATGTAAGTTATTTTTGAGAAAAAAGTATATATAAATACATTTTCTTAGTTGTTTTAATTTATATTACATCTAATGTAAAATTAAAGCATATATCTAAATCAGTTAGAATCAGTCTTATATCCCAAGAAATTTTTTTTGAGAGGTTTTTCCTATAGGGTATGTATGCTTGCCAGAACAACAGAGAGAGACAGAGAGATAGAAAGCAAGAAAGTAACCCCCCCAAGGGGGGATGGCCACGTCACAATCCCTTCTCTTTCATTCTCCTCTTGACATCTTGGGCACGCATGCACATGCGCCTGATGTGAATTTGAGCCACTGGGACTGAGGTTCGAACTGTGGTCAACTATATGGGAATCCAGTAACATAACCATTACGCCAACTGCTGGTCCCTATCCCAAGAATTTTTAACATTCATTTTTGTTTTCTCTGAATTTTTTTTATGAAAAGAAAAAAACCTTGAAAATCTGTAAGAATATGGATGTTCAAAATTCTATTTTAGGGGGCCGGCAAGTGGCATAATGATTAAGGTACTGGGTTCCCACATGACCAATCACAGTTCAAGTCCCAGACATGGCGGCTTGCTTTCTTGCTTTCCTTTTTTCTCTCTCTCTGTGGTCAAATTAATAATAATAATAACAGCAATAGCAAATGGAATTAAATAATTATTTTTGAAAAGTTCCATTTTAGTACATTGTAAGTTAAATAACTTCTAGATATGGTTGGGTATATATTACAAATGGAAGATTTATTTTGCTTCCCATGTTTATCGTTATTCTTTTATAAATCATGGTCTTGCCAAGATTTATGCTTTCTTAACATTCATTAGCTTGCCCTAATATTGCACTGTTTGAGAGTGGTTTATATACCAATGTAAAAGATCACTGTGATAAATAATACAATATCATGTTATCTCTGGAGACTGGAGACATATAAAGCTATTGTTTTATGACCTAAGCAAAGTGAGTCAGTAGTATTTAAGGAAATGTTAAAAATCAAAAGTTTTCCAACTTTTTTTTATGAGATACTAGGGGCCAGCAGTTAGCATAATTGCTGTGTTACAGTTTGATTATCATCTCCTCAGATCTTTTACATGAGACATCCACCATGCTTTGGTGTATAACAGAAGTTCATTATATTTCTTTCCCAATTCTCTGCACAGAATACCTAAAAGATGTGTACTAAAGAGTCAAAGTATAATCAAATTAGTAATTCTTAAACTGCCTTATTTTAAATGCAAATATGGTATAGTCATGAATATAAATACTCCCAGAAGTAAGTTTTAGTGCCACTGCTATAATAAGGGCTATCAACAGTTTTAACCAAAAAGCAACTAAGTCTTACTACCTTTGTGAATATTGTTTTGACCTTATAAATTCCTTAAGAGGTGTCAAGAACCCACATAGCTGTACAGAGTGTATTTTGAGAACTGCTACTTTTCAGCATTTGTCCTGAGTGCTTCACCCATCTTACTTATGCCAGAATGTTTTCCCTATCATGCAAGGTATACAAATACTTCTTAACTAGGAATGGAGGTCTAAATGTTCTTCTCATGGGATACATTAGAGTTTTGTTGAGAAAGTGTGTTTTTTTTTTTAATCATGATGAAAGTAGAGGGGAAGGTTTTTGTGGGGTTTTTTGGGGGGAGTGGGGGCAGAGATTTTTGCTATAGGGCACATGCACTCGCCAGAAAGACAGAGACAGAAAGTGAGAAATCACCTCCCAGGGGGGATGGCTACTCCACAGTCCCTTCTCCTCCATTCTCCTCTCAGGATCTTGGGCCCACATGGACACATGCCCAGCATGAGTTTAAGCTACTGGGTCTGGGACTTAAACCATGGTCAACTACATGGGAGTCCAGCGACATAGCCATTATGCCAACTGCTGGTCCCGGGGGAGGCGGGGGGGGGGGTTAAACATTTTAAATTTAAAATCCTAATAT